GCAGCCCGCGCCGCCGCCGCCAGCCGGCCTCGGCGCCGCTCCAGCCGCCGCCCGCTCCAGCCCGGACGCGCCGCGCGCGGCCCCACGTTTTAGTTCCTTTCTCCCCCGAGCGCCCCTCTACACCCTCGCGACGCACATGGCCCCCGAGAAGAACACTTCTATTTGCAGCTTCTGCGGCTCTCCCGGCCACGGCGCCTTTTGTTGAGAGGTAGATTTTGATGAAACGGGGACGGGTGCCTGAAATCGGGAGCTGCTTGGGTCAAGTGGCTTCCCTCCTCTCCCGAAGAAAGGGCTTTGGAGGGGTTTAAACAGCCAGAGAACGCCCCCATTTTATAGGGACGGGTTGCGTGGGGGGCAGCGATCCCGCCAAGGTGGATGTTAGGCTGGTGAGAGCCCGAACAAAAATGTTATTAACTTAAGTTGGAGGGACACTTGTGAGAAATTGGATGGCTTGTAAGATGGCGGTTCCCAGTTGTTTCCAAGGTCTCCTGCGTTTGTGTTTAAAATGGTAAAGTTTTCAAGGTGTTATTTGTTGGGAGTCTTGGATAAGTTCTTCAAACATTACTTGGGACGTGCTCACTGGGAAGTGGGCATTTCAAATTTGGAGCTTTTTTTGGAGTGATGATGGTGAGTGGACGTTAGTCTTGCAAGAGGTTTCCTCTCTTTCTTTCTTTTTTCCTCTTTTTGTTTTTTTCTGTCTCAGAGACTACAGTTTTTCTCTCAACCTCTAGTATGGGATGCACTTAGAACCATGACTCAAGTCCACAACGTTTTACAGGTTTGGTAAATGTCAGCTTAGGTCATGTGGTGAGGAGATGCTTTGGAAAACGAGCACTAAAAAGTTGATGGCATATGTTTACGCAGTCTTTTGGGTTTGACAGCCGTATAGCATGATCTTTTTCCCAAAGATTTACAGTTAATAATTGGAAGTAAACAAGTATAGAGACTTTGATCATTCCCAATTGCAATAAAAGGATTTAGTGGGCTTAGTGGTCACGGTTCAGTATTTGAAATACAAGCATGTATTAACCCCTTCCCTTAAAGTAGGCAAAATTCTGGGCATATTATTCAAATCCAAGTGTAGGTTGGTGATGCCTAGAATGTTATGAGTAGTTCAACCTATATTTTATAGGAAGCTTAACCCCCAAGTTCTGGAAACGTATTATATACTACGCTAAAGTCTTGAAACCTAAGGATGCCAATTGTTAACAGCATATGCTAACTTATGAGACTATATTAACATTTGAGTTTTATTTTAAGTAGAATCCCTTAGAGGTTGATTTTGTGGGCAAACATATATTTTTTTAATATTTGAGTTCATTCCCATACATCTGCCCCAAAGTGCAAAGGTGTTTGAAATAACCTACTGGTGTAAATTTACACCTGGTATCTTTAAAGCCATATAAGTCACTGTGTATGCATGTGTGTATGTATACACACACACATACACACGCTTCTGTAAGAAAAGTGAGCATTTAGTTGTACTTGAAAAATCCATTAATGTTCTACCATCAAGTCCTTGGATGTGCATTAAGTGCCCCCAAAGGTAAAATTCTCCCTAGAAGTCAAGTTAACCCAAAGTTTACCCATACTTGTATTGACCTGGGAGCCCCAACTGGGGTTATAGAGTTTATTTGCATGTGTTAGATTGCAATAGTCAAGCTGATTGTTAACATAAGAACTTGCTTCTGTTTTCCTTCATTTTGACATTACTGGTGTTAGGCCTCCAACTAAAGTGACAGCCCCAACTGAGTATGTTATAATGGCAAGTTTAAACTATTGAGTATTTTTTCCATTGTATGTTTGGTGCATTTTTGCTTGCTTAACTGGCAGTTCTGTGGTGGAACCTAGAAGGTTTTCCTTTCTAAGGTGCAAGAGATTGTTTCTGAAACCTTATCAAGCATGTCAGATGTTTTGGAAGTCTTCATTAGGTTCCCAGTACTTTCAAGTGGTATATAAAGATAAAGAACTGATTCTTATACAAGTAACAAAGTGGTATTTACTAGCATTATAAATGGTTATAGGGTTGTGGTCAAATTCTTGTGAATTGAAGTAGAGGAGTTGTGTGAATTAAGACTTAAAATGAATTTGAAAGGGTTTTGGTCAAGTACATGAGACTTAAACGTTCAAAGCCAACCAGTAGATAACCTTTTATTGAGGTCTGATTGTTCTGTGTGTTAATATTTGTGTTTGTCTGGTGTTGATTTTATGTAAAGTAGAGGAGAAATAAAGGCAGCTGTTTTTATTGATGCCCCTTCCTGAACTTCATGATCGGTGGCATTAGTGTGATGTGCTTTTGCAAGGGGACAGAAGTATCACCTTGCTAACTATCTTTCTAGTAAAGGTCCTGCTGTTTCATAAGGAGAGTTTTCTTTGAGAACCAAGAAGACTTGTCTTTAATCACCAAGTACAATAGAATTAAATATTGCTACTTTTTAGGGACACTGCTCCATCCACAACTCCTCTGTAATCCCACTTAGATTTATATTAACAATATGTTGACAATATTCCTCTAAACAAGTCATCCAAAGATAACTGAGGAGTCACACATGACGTTTTCTGGTTGAAGTCACTGGTTGCCACTGTGGTCACTTTTCATAAAAGAGGCTTTGTTTTGTTTTTACCGGTTTTTTTTGTTGTGTGTGTGTGTTTTTTTTTAGTACTCTAAAACTTTTAGTTTCAGCCATTGAGCTGTGTTGATTAGTATTTCCCTCTCCTGCATTAAAATTCCCTGAGAATTAAAACCTCAGATGCATCTTCAAGTTTCACAAGTTCCTAGATTTCTGTTCAAGGCAGCTTTGAGAATGTGCTTCAGATAAGTCTGGAAGCTTAGTCTTATTTCAGATTCTGAAATGAATGAAGTGGGAGTAAGAAATGCATTTTTCAAGCATACTGCACGAAGTAATTGACTTCCCTGATTGTCCGCTATTGTATTGTTGCTGACAGTTCCCCACCGTGACTTTTCTATAACATACGATATCTGTTGGGAATAGCATTTCATTGTGTGGGGTTTGCATGGAGGTGAGGCTGAGAAAATGACATTTGTTTTTCTCTGCTCTCGGTGCTCTGGGTTGACAAGGTGTTGATTTAGCGTTGGGAATGGGCTGGTCACATGGTTCTTTACTTATTGTCACTGCCATCGATTCAGGTAGTTTTTCTTGCCTCTATCCAGCATAGCTCAGGTAAAACACAAGGCTTTGCCCACTTCTTGTCTGCTATGAAACAGATTTCAGTTTTCAGCCTTTCCAAAACTTTGTATCGCTCATCCTAATCTACAGAAGAACTTCCTATTAGAGAAGAAAGCTTTAAAGAGTTTCAGTTCAATAAACATCTCTGCAATTTGAGCCCTGACGGTTTCGGGCTAAGTGCACAGTTGGCAATTCTCAAAAGATCCCTTCATGAAATTTTTGACCTAGTGATTGCTAACAGGAGAGACCGAAAGAGTCAAGATCTGAAAGAAACTCTTCGCGCCGAGTCGACGTGGAAAGAGGCCCCCAAGAGTGTCCGAAATGGCCGGAGTGCGGTTTGCATTTTCCTTTACCACTGCACGCTCCGGGGTCCCCCAGGCTGTCTGCCGGGTCGCCTCGGGCCAGAATCCTGCTCCCCAGCGCGGCGGGCCTCGTGGGGCCGCCCCACCCCCGCGCTGCGCGCCCGCACCCCACCCCGCCCCCGCGCGGCCCCGCCCCCGCGCCGTGCCGGCCCCTCCCCCGCGCCCGCCGCTGCCGCCGCCCGGCAGCCCCGCACGCCCGCCGAAGCTACGGGCTCGGCCCGGCTCCGCGCGGAGTTGCAGCGGTGGCCGGATGCCAAGTGTAAGTGTAAGTTGCTATGGAAACCCCGACAGAGGCGAGTTCCGAATCCGGAGCGAGACGGAGCCCCGGGCGCCGCCGGATCCGCCCCTCCGCATCCCGGCCCCCCGGCCCCCGGGCGTCCGCGCGCTCAGGCCCCAGCCCGAGGCCGACTCGAGGTGCTTCTCCTGCGGCCCCAGCACCCAGCTCCGGAAATGCCAGGGATGCAGATAGAGCAGAATTTGCTTTCCCTTTGTATCGCGTCAAAACGTGCCTGGTTCTGGTTGCCGGAACCGCTTAAAACAACCAGAACCCCTGGGAAGCCAGGGCATGCTCCTGGATTTTCGATCGAAGATCCATAAGGAAGTTTTACCCTAAATTTGGAGTCCTGGAACAAGCCCTAGCGGTTGGTAAATATCTGCGGGGAGCGTGTAGCGTCTGCAGCAGCCGTGGGGCTGCTGGGCTGGAGGACAAATGGAAGAAAGAGACCCGAATGCTCTCAGCTCCCAGCCCCCACCCCAGACCTTTTCTTCTCCCTCCTGGAATGACCTGAGGAACCAGAGATTACTTTTCTTGGATCCTTTTTCACCTTTTCTGTAGAACTGATTGAGGTCTGATCAGTGAATTCTTTCTGTAGAAGACGTTGGGACAGTCCAGCTGCACAGTGTTAAACGAGTTTTATGAACTCCTTCAGCATTTCAGAGCATATAGTTACTGGGAGTTGGAGATAATCTCGAATCTCTTTCTGTGAATTATGGCCAATATTTCTTTGTCTTGCAGGATCTTTTATCAAGCAGAAATGCATCGAACAACCAGAATCAAGATCACTGAGCTAAATCCCCACCTAATGTGTGTGCTTTGTGGAGGGTACTTCATTGATGCCACAACCATAATAGAATGTCTACATTCCTGTAAGTACACAGTTTTAGACCTTTTCTTGTGTCGTGTATATTTAACATCTTGTCCTGAAATTTGAAAACTAACAATTCCCACTGTCCTTGAGAATGTTGGTACAAAATGAAGAAGTTGTTTTCCGCTCTTGCATTTAGTGACTTTTTGTTAATGCATATTTAATAAAATACTGTATAAATATAAATTGTATAAGTGTTCTCAGGATATTAACTGAATTTGTTTATTTAATTAGAAATGCCTTTTGGTATTTACCATTTTGTTACTACTAGTTCTCTATTTCTGACACACTAATTTTATTGCTTAGCATCTACTTCCTGAACTTTAAAAAATTTGTGTTTTTATTTCTAGTCTGTAAAACGTGTATTGTGCGTTACCTGGAGACCAGCAAGTATTGTCCTATCTGTGATGTCCAAGTTCACAAGACCAGACCACTACTGAATATAAGGTAGGAAAATGTTTAAAAACATTGTTTGTAATTGCATAATTATTGAATTTAGTGTTTATTTCTTCACACAAAATTTACCCTTCAGTCACTGTCTAATGCGTGTACTTTGTAGAGGAGGATAGCCCTTAATTTCTTGGCCATTTTAATGATGACTAACTTTAAACAGAGTTCAGTATTATTCAAGGGATTTTAAGATTTTTTAAAATCATTTTTAAAAATGGAATTAGTTCTCCATTTTTGCATTGCTTTATTGACCTTGTGACAGGCAAGAGTGCATGTGTTTAAACTGCTTCCATTCTCTCCTCTTTGTTCTCTTTCATATTAGCTAATTCAGTAATTTGGAAGGCACACTTTTCTTGACTTAATGAAATGTGAAGAATTTATTAGTGAGTATAAAATAGAGTATTCTACTAATTAAAAAATAGTGCTACTACATAAAGAAGTTTTATCATAATTATCATGTTGATGTAGTTATAGACAGTGTTACAATCAAGTAAAATACTATAACAGAGAAAACAAAGAATGTTTAAAAACTTAATAAACATTTTTAGTTTTTGCCATATTAGTTGATAGTTTATTTTCTAATTTATTCTTTTTCAGGTCAGATAAAACTCTTCAAGATATTGTATACAAATTAGTTCCAGGGCTTTTCAAAAGTGAGTAACTTGCTTAAAAATGAATTTTTAAAAAGTATTTATCAGTTTACCTGCTATGTTTAAGTCTTTTTTTTCCTCCTCTTTAGATGAAATGAAGAGAAGAAGGGATTTTTATGCAGCTCATCCTTCAGCTGATGGTAAACTCTTTAGAGGGGGAAAGACATTTTATTTGGAGGGAGAACTTATCCAGTAAATTATTAAAATTAAGCTTAAAAGTACCAATTTCATTCTTCTATATGTATAATATTTAATTAAATACTTAATTCTTAAAAATTGAATTTAAAAATGTCTTTATAGCTGCCAATGGCTCTAATGAAGATAGAGGAGAAGTTGCAGATGAAGATAAGAGAATTATAACTGATGATGAAATAATAAGTTTATCCATTGAATTCTTTGACCAGAACAGGTAAATTCTTTAGGAAATGTGTTTTATGCTAATATATTTATTAGATACATTGTTTGCCTAATAAATTATCTGTTTCTTAGATTGGATCGGAAAGTAAATAAAGACAAGGAGAAATCTAAGGAGGAGGTATGTTCCATGATACAAAAACACATAGAAGATGCATTGTTTGGATTCTAGATTTTATGAGGGTGTATGTTGCTCTTTAGCATATCCTAGGGTCAGATGTTGCTATCAAATAGAAGAAAATCATCACGTTTGTTGTTTAAGAGTGATCTGTATTCAATAGTTACTAGATAGAATTTATCTTATATATGATTACTCTTCTTACAAAATATTTTCAGTAATTAATGTTTAATGCTTTGATGTACTGAAGGAATCTGTTCATTTAGTATTTATAATAATAGCAAACTCAAAGTATAGCTGAGAACTTAGTCAAATCTCAGCTTTGGTATTCGTACCTTTTGTCATACTCAGACATCTATTTTTTTTGACTTTAAAAAAAAAATCTTAAAGTTAGGAATTTTAAAAAATTATTTTTTTAAAATATGCTCTTAGGTGAATGATAAAAGGTATTTACGATGCCCAGCAGCAATGACTGTGATGCACCTAAGAAAGTTTCTCAGAAGTAAAATGGACATACCTAATACTTTCCAGGTATCTACTTTATAGTCTTCATGCATTCTATGTAAATCTTTAAAAAAAAATTTCAATGACATTTTTCTTTTTGGATTCTAAACCCAAAAAAGCAACGGAATTTTTTTTTTAATTTAGTACTTTATTTGGAAATCGCTCTTAAAATATTTGGTATGGATTCTGTTTTATGCTGTGAAAACAAATCCCTTACTAATTTCAAGAAATGTTTTCCCTCATTTGAAGTTTCCAGAGGGATTCTTTCTTTGTCCAAATGTTTGGAGAAAATGTTTTTTAAAAGCATTTTTGGATTCTATTTAGGTGGCCAAAAAAATCTAGATTTACCATCATTCTTTGTGACACTTAATAATTGAAGTGTTGTTTTTCAACAGATTGATGTCATGTATGAAGAGGAACCTTTAAAGGATTACTATACACTAATGGACATTGCCTACATTTATACCTGGAGAAGGGTAAGTAGCGTACCTGATGCTCGCAGGTTATTTTTGTAGACTGTACTTAAAGATCTAAGACTGATTTTTTTTTTCCTCTTAACTTTATAGAATGGTCCGCTTCCTTTGAAATACAGAGTTCGACCTACTTGTAAAAGAATGAAGATCAGTCATCAGAGAGATGGACTGACAAACGCTGGAGAACTGGAAAGTGACTCTGGGAGTGACAAGGCCAACAGCCCAGCAGGAGGTATTCCCTCCACCTCTTCTTGTTTGCCCAGCCCCGGCACTCCAGTCCAGTCTCCTCATCCTCAGTTTCCTCACATTTCCAGCACTATGAATGGAACCAGCAGCAGCCCCAGCGGTAACCACCAATCTTCTTTTGCCAATAGACCTCGAAAATCGTCAGTAAATGGGTCGTCAGCAACTTCATCTGGTTGATACCTGAGACTGTTGAGGAAAAAAATTTTAAACCCCTGATTTATATAGATATCTTCATGCCATTACAGCTTTATAGATGCTAATACATGTGACTATCGTCCAATTTGCTTTCTTTTGTAGTGACGTTAAATTTGGCTATAAAAGATGGACTAGATGTGATATTCATATGGACGTTAATTGAAAAGAAAGATTATTTCTCGAAAGAATTGATTTCTGAGAAAGCAGGCAAGATGTTTTTCTGTGTGTTAGGACAGATGTGAAATGGTTTCTGTAACCATTGTTTGGATTTGAAAATCTTCTGCAGTGGATATAAACATTGGGCCATAGTTTGTTAATCTCAACTAACGCCTACATTACATCCTCCCTGATTGTTCTTGTTATTATGCTGTTTTGTGAACCTGTAGAAAACAAGTGCTTTTTATCTTGAAATTCAACAAATGGAAAGAATATGCATAGAATAATGCATTCTATGTAGCCATGTCACTGTGAATAACAATTTCTTGCGTATTTAGCCATTTTGATTCCTGTTTGATTTTTACTTCTCTGTTGCTGCGCGAAACCGATCAAAGGAAAGTAAACTTCAGTTTTACAATCTGTAAGCCTAAAAGCGGGTACTACCGTTTATTTTACTGACTTGTTTAAATGATTCGCTTTTGTATGAATCAGATGGCATTATGCTTATTGTACAATGCCATATTGGTATACGACATAACAGGAAACAGTATTGTATGATATATTTATAAATACTATAAAGAAAATATTGTGTTTCATGCATTCAGAGATGGTTGTTAAAATTCTCCCAACTGGTTCGACCTTTGCAGATACCTATGTTTGAGCCTTATCACCGTAGGATATTTTTAATGTGGATATTTAATTCTAAATTTTGTTCCATTGGAAGCGATTGGCATATCGTAATATTGATTTTTCTCTAGTAATACCTGTTTACTTTTAAAATTAATAGTTGCATTAAAGAAAAACTTTTCACTAAGGAAATTGGAAATGCTTTCTTCATTTCCCATTGCTTATGATGGAATTAATGTGTTTTTAAAATGCATATTGATCACTGTAATTCTAAAACAAATATTTTAAATAAACCAGCAAATTGCTGGAAGAAGGCATTTTATCTAAAATTATTTTAATATGTGGCATAGTGGAAATTTCAAACTTAAGAATTGCTGTTACAGTTATAAACAGTGGAATATGCCCTCTCTGTAACGTCTGGAAATAGAAGCAATTTATTGTGAGCTTCTACAGGTATTAGTTTTTAAATACAGTGAGCATGTTGAATTTAAAGTATGAATATCCCCAACAATTTTCAGTTTGTGTTTTGCTTTGGTCGAACTTGTTCATCACCCATCAGTTATTTGTGAGGGTGTTTATTCTCTATGAATATTGTTTCATGTTTGTATGGGGAAATTGTAGTTAAACATTTCATTGTCCCCCGTCTGCAAAAGAAGCACAATTCTATTGCTCTGTCTTGCTTATAGTCATTAAATCATTACTTTTACATATATTGCTGTTACTTCTGCTTTCTTTAAAGATACAGTAAATGAAGTTTTATGAAACCACAAAATACATATATTTTTATTTTGATCTAAATTTGTACAGTCCCATTGTAAGTGTTGTTTCTAATGATAGATGTAAAATTAAATTTCATTTGTAATTGGAAAAATCCAATAAAAAGGATATTCATTTAGAAAATAGCTAAGACTTTAATAAAAATTTGATATGAAAAGCACAATGTGCAGAAGTTTTGGAAACCCTATTGTGGATTACAACAGGTAAAAGCTGAAGAACATCCATTGCTGTCTTAGTGATGTTGCTGAGAGTACATGCGTTGTTGTATAATTGCTTGAAAGCCCAATTGAAAGATGTATCTGTTTATTTACTCTACAATCTTTGAAGTAAAAGTTACCCATGTTTGCCAATTTTGGTGAATTTAACTTATTTTTCTAGGGTTTTCTTCTCAAGTTGTTCATGATGTTATCTAAGACAAGAAAAAAAAGTTAATGGAAGTTTCAAGTGATGTTTTTATTTTGGATATGACGATATAAAAAATGCACAAGTATTTTTCAAAGGCTAAAAACTTAAAGTGCTAGTGGATTGTCATTTGACTTACACAAAACCAAGTCATAGGATCAACACAGAACTCAAAGATTTTATATCTCAACCTTTTTATGGACTTATTTTTGAAATTACTTAGTAAAGTATCAGATATTGCATTTATGGCTTACCTAACACTATTTCACCATATTTGAAAACATGTCCATTTATTTTGTTTGAAAGAGGAATTTCCCCCCTACTCAATTTGAAAATTGCTTAAGCTTTAAAGGCTATTTCAGCTAAAATTTGTCTTTTAATAAAACGAGAGTATAATGTTTTGTATTTTATAAGCAGCCATCACGGGTTTGACAATTAGGCTTTAAAACTTTTGCTGAACTACCACTTAAAATTTCAATGTTACAAAAACCCATAGCAAAGCTGCTAACTTTGTAACTCTTAGCAGTCAAGGCAGGGTGCGTGAAAAGTCGGCTTTAAGTTTGGCTTTTGCTTCTGAACAGTATTCTGGGATTCTATACCACAAAGTTAGAGCTAAAAATATTCCACAGAAAATGCCTAAATTGATTTCACAGATTTTGGCTTAAATGCAAAAAAAGAATGAGGCTGGTTGCTGTTGTATAAATAGTGATCTATCTTGCTTTACACATGCATACCACTTTACAAATACCTTTTTGCTTTTAAAATTGCCGGCCGTTAATTGCTCTGAGTTGAAAAAAAAAGTTGCCCTTCAGTTGACTTAACCTACCAACCATATTGCTTTGTTTCCTTATCCATATGTGCAAATGTTAGGACCTTTGGAGGTACAATGCAACAGGCAGAGTAAGCTGATAGGGGCTTTCCTTCATCCTTTCCTCTTATTCTTTTCCCAATATTGGAGTTGCAGTTCATTTGTGAAGTCTTTCCGTACACTCGTTGTATAGGCCTATCAAAAAGTTTTGTTATGAAACCTTAATAGCAATGTAAAAGGAATCCATGTGAAATACTACTTGCACTGGCCAAGAAGAAATGAAAATGTTTGGTTTTTGAGAAATAGCTTAATGGTAATCTTTGGAGGAGATGGGATTTTAATTTTAGAAACGATTTGCACATGGAACCTAGTCTCCTTTAGAATCCTGAGGTGAAGGAAGTGTTATTTTTGTTCATTTCTCTTTATATTTTAAAGGTTTTAAAGATATATCTTTTCCTTCTGACATTACCCTGGAATGACAGTTGGAAATTCTGATTCAGTTTGGTGCTCCATGAAATGGAGGCTCCATGTTATTTTGAAATACAATGATTGTTTCTTCCATACAGTTTTACTCTCCTTTTATCCAAAACAAAAGGTCTTGATGAAATTACATTTTAAAGGACCCTTAAAAAAAAAGTATATACCTTTAAGACTTCTAAGTTTCAAAGAGCACAGAACGCAGCTCCAACATAAGGCTCTTGGGTTAGATAAGGTCACTTCGCTTGAGGATGTTTCTTCAAGTAAAAAATGAACAGTACAACAGGTGATTATTTCTAAGGTCGCTTAAAAAAAAATCCGGATTCCTCCAAAATAAAACCTTGAATTAAACTGGGACCACAGAATTCAGATAGATGGGTTTTTTACAAGGAAGAGAAAGTATCACATATTAGAGCCTCCCAGTAGATCAGACTTGGGAAATGCCACCGCGAAGCCTGTCCATCTCCTTACAAATCTCAAGATCTCCCAGTTTTGATTATGAAAGTCTCCGAAAATGTTTACACAGTCGAGTGTTTCCTGTTTCCGCACTTAATTTTTTTTAACGTTTTTTCTTCTTTTGGTTCTTGAAACGGATTTCCTTTATTTGCACCAGTTTCTTTTTCTGAGTGTGCAATTTCTAGAGGTCTCACATGAAGACTTCACCATCAACTTTTTGTCTTCATCAAGTCGACGACATCAACAGTTATTCATCACTGGAAAGGCTACTCCAGGATCCTTATGAGTTTTCTGAAGAAGTTCAAGTGCCTGTGGAAAACTCACGCGAAGTCTCATTTAACCCCCTAAATGAATAGTAAGCACTACATAAAACTTCCAATGGATGAGTTAAATTACCCCCATTCTTCTGTTTTCTTAAAATATCCCTTCCAGAGGCTATTAGAAGGGAATTTCCCAAAATAGCAAGTGATGTTCCCTCAAAGTCACCTACATTTCAGTTAAAAAAAAAAAAAGTTACTTCTTGCTCTGATTGTTGGGTGGTCATCAACTCCAAACTTCAAAGTGAACGTGATTTCAAGTTCCGTGCGGATTCGGCGCTCTTCAACTCTGTCCTTCTAAGTTAGCTAGAACCCAACAGACTCTCGGAAGGCTGCGGACTAGGGTACTCGGGAAACGCGTCGAAAATTGGGATGGAAGGAATGAGAACGTTACAGAGATGGATAAAGAAGTTACTGGAGATAGCGAAGCCTGTCCAGGAGCTCCAGTCTTAGGTCTAAGTGCCCCCACGAGTGGAAATATTCAAAGAAAGCCGAAGACAGGAACGCAGTGCGCGGCTTGCAAGATAAAGCGGGGGCGAGGGTAATTAGGGTGGAAAGAGCATCGGCTTAAAAAAGAAGAAAGAAAGGCTTCCTATGTTCGGGTGCCCGGTGGAAAGGGCACAGGACGCCCGGCCGGAGAAAATGACCTCGTTTCCCGGCAGCGCTGCCTTCCCGATTAGGGAGCCTTTACCAAAAGGACCGGTTACAGAGAAAACGGCCCTTCTCCCTGTTTTATTTTTTAACTAGCAGCTCTCCGAGAACCGCAAAGAGCGACAGCCCGGACCTCCGCCCCCGATTGCGCCGCGGGGTTCGGCCCGGCCCAACGCTCGAGCCCAGGCCGCGGGGCACCGGGAGGCCATTTTGCGCGTGCGCGGCGCGCCACCCTCAGCTCGGCGGACTCGGATCCCGCCAATTTTGAAAGCGAGATTCCCAGGCCTCGGCAGGCTGGGGAGGCGGGAAAACGAAGTCGTGTCTCCAAGGCCGGACCCGGTGGCGAGCGGCGGCGACAGCCGGGTGCGCGTGATCTCACAAGGCGGCCCCCGTCCTGCCGAAGGCCTCTCCGCCCGGCGGGACACCGAGGCGCGGCAACCGGCCCCTGGGCCGCGAGAGCTCAGCGCGGGCAGGAAAGTGTCCCACGTCCCGGGAGGCGGCGGCGTCGCCTGCAAAGCCCTCAGAAGCGATTCCTTGCGGGGCCATTCCAGATTATCGCCTCGCTTTGCCCTCCTCCCTCCGGCTGCTTCAGATCCTGTGCCCTTTCTCCTTCAATAACAAGGTGTCCTTGGAGTTTAGGGTTTTGTTGGAAAGACTGTAAGCCAAATTATTAACAAAATATAAAACTGCCATTTGAGGCTTCCCGAAGGCTGAGCTTCAGCCTACCCGAAGGGTCCTCCAGTTGAACTTGTTTAATGGGTAGAACGGGCTCTAATCCCCTGGGAAGAAAACCTGACCAGGTGAGTGTCGAGGAAGGGGTGGCTGCGCGATAGGAATCTTAAGATCTGGGCAAAGGACCACACTTTAGGACCCAAATGCGAAGCCTGGGGCTCCGGGCAGGGCGAACCTGGAAGGTCCGGTGCTCTCGCACTCCGGCGCCATTGAGACCCCGGCGGGGCAGAGGATCGGGCGGTTGGAGGTTGGGATATCGCCTCTGAAAGCCGCCGGGACGCAGCGGTTTCCAGCAGAGTCCGCGCCTGCCTGATCCCCGGGGCAGAAAAGCTTCTCTGACCCAGGAGTCCCACGTGCGCCCAAAAACGGGGAGAGGAAGGGACGGCTTGGGGAGGGGGACCGGGGTAACAGCAGAGAAATGAAAGCGGCCTAAAATGGGCGACGCCCGGCGAGTCCTCTTTATCGGCGCGGCAGACTGCAGGAGCCGCCATTTGGTGGCGGATTTCGGTATTTCAGTAGCACGTTGTGCTGAACGTCACAACTGGCTTGTCTACGTGGCAAGGTCGTTTCGGAACCGCCGTTTTTAAAAATGCAAATTTCCCCCAGGCCTCCCCCCTTCCCCGGAGCACCGACCCCTCCCCCACTCGCGGTGGAGGGCGCCGCGTCTCGGCTCCCCCTCGACCCGGGGCGGGGACCTCGGGGCTGCACTGGGCTCCACCCGCGCCCAAGGGCTAGTGTGATGCGGGGTGGAGCCCAGCGCAGGACTAACGGGTGTTTTTCTCCCCGTTTTTCCCAGATTCCGAGCCCGCAGCTTTCCTCTCCCCTGCGGAGAATCTCATTTCCTTGGGGCGGTGACGGGCATTGTCTTTTTGCGGGGGTCGCGTGCCAGCCCTGGCCTCCCGCCTCACACCTCTCGGAAGCAAAGAAGAGAAAGGCGGGCCAGGCCTGGCGGAAAGGGACCCACCCGACGAGACGCGGCTCCTCGGGTAGTGTCGGGTTAGCATCCCGGACTGGCGCTTTCAGCTCGCTCCGGAGCCCCTGGGAGACCCGGGGAGCTACACACCTCTGGGGAGTGCCAGGACGTCGGCGTCCCACCCGGGGTCACCCTGTCTTACACGGTCTCCATTAAAAGCCCCCGAAGCGCGAGGTGCCTATCGAGAGGAGAACAAAGGGCCGAGGGGCGAGCGCAAGGCGAGTCGGCGCGCGCGGCTGCCCTTAGCTGGGCCCGACTCGGAGGCGGGGGCGCCAGGAGGGCCGACTCGCGGCCGGGAAGGGAGGCGGCGGGCGCGCAGCGGAGTCCGCAGCCCCCGCCTCCCCGGCGGACTGAAAGAGTCGTCTTTGAACCAGAGCTGCCATGTTGCATTCGCGGAGGACGCCAGTAATTTGACGCTCCCGAGGCAGCGACACCCCCAACCCGAGAGCCTTTCGGGGCCCTGCGTGCCGCACAGCAGTGGTCACAGCCCGAAGGGGCCGCGGGGCGCGGGCGGGAGCGCGAGCCCTGCGGGCG